ATTCTAGGAGCTAACATATTTCAACCAACCAATTTAGGCAAACGGATTGCCCTACCTACCCGAGTCGAACCCAAGGTCTTCTTCGCCAACGAGCGTACTTTTCTATCATGGCTAAACTTCACCGTCATACTGGGTGCCTTGGCCATCGGCATGTTGAACTTCGGTGACCGTCCCGCGTTCATCTCAGCCTTCTTATTTACGGGTGTGGCCATGCTCACCATGATATATGCGTTATTTACATATCATTGGCGAGCCAAGTCGATAAGAGTAAGGGGGCAGGCTGGTTTCGATGATCGCTTCGGGCCATCCGTACTAGCTATCATCCTCCTATTGGCCGTCGTCGTCAACTTTGTGTTGCGAATAACATACTCCAGCACAGAGGGCGGGAAAAAGCATTAGTTTCAGACGGAAAACCGGAGGATACAGATTGCAAGGTTGTGGACCAGGCTCGTGGGAACTTGTTCAACAATGAACCCTTGAACGGTATACTCAAAGTCGCTAGTTCGGCAGTACCCCTTGGTAGTCTTTCAATAGCGGGCAACGGCCGGTGCGATTGGGAAGTTTGTATATCAGACGGCATCTTAGCATGGTATCTTTCCTATCGGGAGCGCATTTCTGGTGGAGTTTATTTCGGTCTTCATTACAAATTTGAAAATTTTGCATATGCTCCGTAGCATAAGATTTAAGAATGTTAGTTCTTCGTAGCATGCAAGCCTCTCCAAAATAGAGTGACATCAGCTGGATATTTTGGGTCTTTTCATATCTGTGATCCTGCTTGGGTATCTTGATAATAAGGTTGATTCTACCGTCTCTCCTTGAACGGGTAATGGTGGTTCGGCGGGTTCTCTACTTGGGGCCGACATTCGTTTGTTCGCCGTATCGCTTTTTGAGTTCCTCGATGGGAACTGGAGAAAGGAACAGGCTCATGACAGGTATTCCCCTCCAACGTGGTTGGCCTTCAATTTCTCTTTCAAAAGGAGTCTTCATAGTTTCAAAGTCGTCATCACCGGTGTCGCCTAGCTTCGTTTCCTCGATAATAGTATTACCATCACGTCTAGGTATTTCCTTGATCTCCTCGCCTAGCGCGATGTACTGAAACCAGATGCGCGCATTATCCGCCTGTTTTTCTAACTCGCGCTTCGCGATTTCGGCTATCGAGACCAACTTGCCTGTGTCGGGAGCTTTGGCGCGCAAAACAATCACATTCGTCTTGCTAGTGGCGGGGCGGGCAAGGTGTCGAAGAATGGAAACGACTTTCTTCTGTATCTTAGAGGACGAGATTATCGAGTGGACATGGATATCATATTTAGATTCCAGAGCTTGGAGCATTCTGATATCCTCCGTCGACGATAGGTTAAGGCTGGCCTCAAGCTTGGCTTTCTTATTTGGTACGATTGGATCGGTATCGGCGCGCTTCCTTTTCGTTAACGAGTCGCTAGTCGGGTTGCCCTTCGAGGGGTCTTTTGGGGCGTTCATGATGCCGCCGGAGAAGGGCGAGTGATCGTCATCGAAGGTTGTGTGTACCTAGAGGTAGGTATGGTTGGAAGTTGAGCAAGGATTTATTAGATTAAACCTTCCGTAGCTTTAAAGTGCAATTCTTATCGATAACACAAGATTATTAACTGTTGTAGCCATTGCTACTTTACTTTGAATAAAGTGCTTACTTTATCCCCACATAAATTGTACATGGGAATATGAGGCTTGTGTTATAGATACCTGACTACCTAGGTACCTACCTATACATACTCTTAGACGAGATCCCATTCTCTAAACAATTTTGTGGTTTTACCTAAAAAAAAAATATATATATACCAAATCACGTTATACTCGATATGTACCACAGTACCAAGTCCAAAAACGAGAGAACAAGGGAGTCTTTCTTAGCCGACACGTTGAGTTTCGCAGTTCAGACACTTTTGAGACGAGTCCAATATATGCAATTGGTTGATCACGAATAAATGGCCCTGTCACTTCATGCAGCCCAGTCATTGCCAAGGATGAACCAACCTACGTACTATGCATAAAGGTGTCGTATGGATAGAGAGTTACGATCGTCATCTCAAGCAATCTTTGTGTAGGTATAATCTATTTCCACCAATCAAGCCATCTTCTGCTATTTAGGTATTCTTAATTCGAATTCCTATGTCTGATCCCGAAACTATATAAATATGAGTAACTACCTAGTTATCCATTAATAGTGTAGATGCAACAAGTTTAGCTACCCTAGGTAGGTAGGTTAGGTACACAATATACAGTTAACAGCTCGTCTGAGTTCGTTTCTCCTAGCCTTAGAAGAGACGATCTCAATCCCAACAATATAATGTATTTCATGTTACAGTAATGCGTGGTTAGGTACTACTAAAACTTCCGGTCACTAACCAATGGTGTCCAGTTACAGTCCGCCATGTTTCAACGACCCAAACTCATGTACTAGTCATGTAGCTACCTATGTAGTGTATGTAGGTAGTTACACTATATCTATTAATATATCCTCGCTTATTTTGCACATTCATTATGCACTTCTTAAGCCATACTGTGAACCATGCCGCTTTTAGCCTGAGCCCTGCTCTCTCTTATGCAACTTACCCAAGTACCTTACTTAATCTGGGCACGTTTGCATAAAACACGGCTCTTTTTTACGACTGATCGCGATACTCGTTGCTAGGACTCTTACTTACACTTATCCTAGTTTTATCATATCGAAATATCTATGCGTACTATGTTATTCTATGTTCTCTTCTCAAAGGTGCGGCATTTAAAAGCCGCTAAAGCCGATTAGTACATGTCGGTATTGAGTGTTGATAGGCTGAGACAGAACATTTTTTGCTCCAACTCTAGCAAAAGCAAACAGGATCATATACGCACTTAGGCTGATTCCGTTCACCAATCACAATCCGGTCCCATAGCTCAGTTGGTTAGAGCGTCGTACTAATATCACCACCTTTGGTTATGTTAAGTCCATGCGAAGGCCGGCGGTTCGAGCCCGCCTGGGACCATCTTGATTTTTTTACTTTTTGATCTGCTAGAATATTCCGTTGAGACCCCCAGTGTGCCAACTTGCTACAGTACCTAGGCTTATTTAATTTGATTTGTTAGAATTTTTGTGCTATCCCTAAAGTGGTATATTTTGAGGCCTTTCAAGGCTTTGATTTGTTAATATAGGTGGGACCTTATACTGCAGCAAGTTGGCACTTGAGGAGATAAAAAGAGACAAACTATTGTCGTGCCCGATCACTTCGTGTGTTTGTACTGTTGTCGTAAGTTTAATAGGGATCTTTCAAATTAGCCCTTCCTCATTTTCTTCCTGATAGTATTTCTATTGTCAGTTATTACTTTTATTACGGCCATCCATCCTTTTTTATGTAGTTCTGGTATCGTATCATGTAGAAGTATATTCGAATATTAAGGTCGTGATTCTTTTCAAGTTCTAGTAGTCATCAGCTAGGCCGCATTATTTATCTTTAACATGCTTCCAAGTCTCAGAGACACTTTGGTACTCTCATGAACCCCGACATGCTAACGGCTCGATTATTACGAGTAGTCTAAGCTCAACTCATCGAGTAGCTGAGCGATCAACTCTATTTTAATAACTTGAACTATAATGATAATAGATATGATGAGCCCGGTGCGTACGGTACCTACAATAACCTATTAATATAAAAATTGAACACCAAATGCATTGAACCCTTTTCATTTAAGCTGCGACGAGTCCCCAAATCTAGTGAGCTGTCAACAGCCCTAGTGATAATATTTTAACGTAAACCAGATGTGCCAGCCGTCATGCTACAGTGTTTGTACAAGTAAGAAATAACCCAGAAACCTAGCGTCTTGATACCAGCATATTCCACCTTTGTCTTTGACTTGAGGCTACCACAAATAGAAAATGATACAGATGTTAAGCAAGGACCCATACCGAAATCACGATTACAACAATTCCCAGGTCGAGACGAACAATTAACTAAGTGTATGTGTGGGCTCAGTTGACCTAATAATTTAACGAGGCCTGACTTAATTAATGGTTGATCATAAGCGGTGATAGAAAGGGGAGATTGAGATGAAGATATCAGTACTTGGGCGAATCTATGTTAAATCGAAAAGCACAATCCTTAAAATACAATCAATAGTCTAAACATTTAAAGTCAAGTAACTTTGCTAAATATAAAAAGCTGCTCATAATCATGACCCCTCGGGATCTTTCAAAGATGTTAAAGTAGCCTGGCCAAACACATGTCCCTAAAGAGCCTTAAATTGAACGCAATATAACCCCGGGATGGGATGATGCCGTTAGATTTGAAGGGGATGATAACGGGACACTATCAAGTAATCCCAAGATATTAGGTCTGATTATATAAAGAGTGTATATCTTTATTCTTGGGTAAGGTACCTGTGGGCCCATACGGTTACTAACTATACTACAAGCTAGCCTTCAACTTCCACTCTATACAACAGGTAGGTATATCCAAATCATAGCATTCTAAGCATAGCACTACACTAACTAGTACTATACCCGTCAATACCATTTTACACTGGAAGGCTCGCAGCATGCGGATCGGTAACCTAGCTACTCATAGTCTCTTACACGACCTGTATGCATGGCTTCGAATTGATATTGCAATTCTGATTGAAGAGTGCCAACCAGGAGTGGATACGTTAGTGTTTCCAAGGCATCTTTAGAACCGAATAGAGTAACTAGTAAGATATATCGAGTATAATAAAGCTACCACACCCCTGACGAGACTGGGGAAGAACCTAAAGGTTTTGGTGACTACCAGCAAATATGTAAATATATAAAGAGTATTCACTCTCTTCATATACGGGGACTAGGGGCGAATAAAAAGGCATAAATACGATACTTCAATAGTAAGAAACATCATATTTCTACAATGAGGTATGGTAGATATAAATAAGTACCTACATAAGTAGCAATATATTGGCGACCAAAGGGAGAAAAAAGTAGGTCAATACCCAGGAATATATACTAGGAAGAGTAGCAAAAGGAATAGTCCCAGGCGGGCTCGAACCGCCGGCCTTCGCATGGACTTAACATAACCAAAGGTGGTGATATTAGTACGACGCTCTAACCAACTGAGCTATGGGACCCAACTTTGTTAAAATCTCGTCTACTAAACCGTCCATATAACAGCTATACTGACGTGAGTGATTTTTTGGGATATCCTGAGGATTTAGACCTGCAGTGGAGGAAATCGCTAATCTAAATCAAGCATAGTAGCCGGGCGATATTTGTACACATGTACAAGCATCATGCAATATCTTAGTGCGCTTGTACAATATTTAGCGTTCCTAATGCAATACCTATGCAAAAGTACCTGCCAGCCCTGCGTACCAGCTAAAAGCGGCCATGTAACAGCCTTTAGGTTATGAATCAATTCCATCCACATGTACATTCACAGCAGGAATTTGATTGTCTTGTCCCCTTTAAAAGAAGCATCCCATATCTGCCTATTTGTTTCCTACTTAGGAATATATCGGGTATGAGACTTTGCCACCGTAACCCCTCTCCCGCGTCCTTAAGTGAGTCATAAAAAAAGGAAATATTTAAGAAGTACTTTGTACGTATATTTAATCGGAGATAATGGAAACGTCCAATACTTGGGTACATTAGGTATATTTAGGTACATAGCCATGCGTAATGCGTGCACAATCCTGTAAATGTTATGCAAACAGGTCACAACCTAGGTAGGTAGTCAGATGGATACCTAAACAGACCCCTTTACCGTGCAGCACAGACCGCCTCGAGATACGTACGTTTTCCTTGGAAACGCAAATGGAATAATCCTTGTCAATTCAGAACAACTCGAATTTGATTGATTTGGGACCCCCCTTGTCAAAAGCCCAGAATCCCAGAATCCCAAATCCATCCGTCGGACTGTCGGGCAATCAAATCGAAAATCGAAGTGAATTTACAACGTGTATGAGGTAGGTACCTAACTCACCACCACTTAACCTCCCTAGCTCCAGGCAGGTAGCCACCCACCCAACCCAACAGGGAACTATCACACCTCACCCTCATAGCACCCTCACGGAAACCCAGCAGCATTGAACTGTGGAAGCTAGGTACAGCAAGATACGCGTTAGGTAACCTACGACGCCCCCCCAAACCCCAAACTCGAGGAAATCAGTACTTCCTTGCACCTTCGCATTTTCGCATCTCTGCATCTCTGCATCTCTGCGTTTCTGCGTCTCTTGCGTCTCGCGCCCTCTAGAAACCTTACAATCCATCTTACAACATCTTACAACCTTTCATTTTCCCCTGCCTTTTCTGCGAAAATCTGCCTGTCGCAGCATCCGAAAAAAGATACTCGCAGCAAATGATAGTCGGCTTTCTTCTGCCTTTTTATTTTTGTTCTATTCACGCGTTCCTTTGCTGAATTTAATACTTGCCCCCCCCCGTCGGTCGCGCCACTTTACTTTACTTCATTCCCTTCGCCCTTATTTTATTATTTTTTTGTTGTCTCGGTCGCATAAATCGTACCCTGATGATCATCATACGCGCCTTCTAATACCAACGCATCGCACCGCACCACACCGTCCACAGTATCTCCATTTGATACTGTTTTACTGCGCTCATTGTCCTTTTTTCGCATCTTGTTCTTTTTTCCTCAAGGACATTTTTATTGTCGCCTGGTCGCAAAGTCTTTTATTAAAGTCGACCTTACATACTATTAATTACGCGCAAACATTTTACTATCATTTGTGTTGCGTTTCGTTGCGTTGCGTTGTTCTGTTACTGGCCTGTCGTCGCGCATTCCTCATCTGTCTATTCCGAACCTGACTCGCACTGAGTTTCGTTGGGTTTGACCGTGGCCACATCACCGATAGCACTGCTCCTTTTTTGCGCATCGTCGACCCATCAGGAGCCCGTATCTCTCCTATTTGATACGTGCGGCTTCCTTGGTTCTTGTTCCTCTGCCTTGGGTACTAGTGATTGCCTACTTTACTGCTTAGCTTGCTGCTTAGCCTAGGACTAGGACTGTTCAATAGCGTGCATCGTCAGGCTAAAAGAGGTGGTCGCATCCGCCGGCTGAGCCGACCCCCCGATTTGCACACTTTCCACCTGCCGCGCTAGGGAGGAACTAGGTACCCACGCCCTGCAATCATTCGTCGTTACGTCAGCCTTGCCTTCCCTTTTGGTGTCGCACCTCTGGCGATAGGTTCCCCCCTTCCACCCCCTTTTACAACTTTATTGTTGCATATCAGCCCGGGTCTGCTCTATCCGCGCCCCGACCACATACAACAATCAAACTGCGCAACGACGTTCCTTGAGCGCAAAAACACCAAACTTCACTTTTCCCTGTCGGGTATGCTCATGTTCCGATTTTGGAGTTCAGATTCGAGGGGAAGCGACAGAACTTTACAAGTTGAACAGCCCATGCTTGATTTCAGCAAACCACTGCAGCCTTGGGTGTCATCAGAGTCGCCGCTTACTACTGCGGCCGCCACAACCATCCCTACAACCCCGAGGCGGCGCAAGCAGAGCAACGTCGCGATAGCGTCGCAACTCTCTGCTTCTTCACCCGCGCTCAAGCGGACGAGGACTGATGATGATGGCTATGACTGCCTTAGGGCGCACAAGAGGGTGGCTTTGTCTCCGGTAGAGGAGGGGAGAGGGTATGCACCGCAGCCCGTATTGAATAGGCCCGACATGAATCGCGCTAGAGATGCCATCGAACAACAGTTTAGTCTCGAGATCTTACTCAAGCACGACGAGTTACGCTTGATTAATCAAGAACTTGCCAAATGCCAGGTGGCTTTGGAGCAGCTGCGAAGGTGTCATCTAATTCCGTATCCACAGAACGTTCCCACACCGGAACATATGGTGAATATAATGAATGGGTCAGGTGCAGCCTTGCGGCCGAAGTTGGGCGAGAAGCTGCCTCAGTGGGCACCTCCCTTCGGCGTTACCGAGGGTCCGTACGCGCGACACTATGCCAAGTGGCTCATACCCGATCCTAAGTTCGACGGCATCCAGCCTGAGGCCCATGTGCAAGCTGAGAATTCAAGATTCAGGAATTCGGTAGACGGTAGATCGACGAGAAATAGTTATGCTGAGCTAGGCACGTCCCAGGGGAGAGGTCGGCCAGTAAGGGGTACGGCAGGTCAGAAGCTCCAAGCTCTGTCAAATGGTTATCCACCTCCCAAGGATAAGAACGGACCTTGCGTCTTGAAGCGATCTGATGGGAAGACCGTAAAACTTGTCTGCATTGATTGCCATCGCGAGAACTTTTCGAGTACGCAGGGGTTTATCAACCACTGCCGAATAGCGCACAAGAGGGACTTCAAGAGCCACGAGGAAGCTGCGGTACACTGCGGCCACCCTATAGAGGTTACTGAGCCTAGTGGTACTGTAGGAGAAGAGAAACCAGTTATCCAGAGTACACCTTCGTCCGGCCTTGTCCACCCATTTGTGCGGGAGAATGCTATGTCCGAGTCTGAGGCCTGTTTCTCCGTTGTGCGTCGTATCCAGGAATCGTTAGAAATGTACAGCCGGGGCCAGTTACGTGGCGTCTCGTCGATTCCTGGTGCCTCCAAGAGTTCTCAGAGCGCACCAGCGGTAGCTAAACAGCAGCCAAATTTCTTACCCTCAGCTGATTCTCCACATCTCTCTCGCTTACTTCAAAGCAGAGGATTTAATGGCAATCTGAGCGAGTTAGTTAATGAGGCTAAGGCTAAGATCGACCTCGACCAGTACTTTTCCCCCGATGATGAGTTGGACGAGGTTGACGCGGGTAGTAATGTCGCTGAAAACGCAGCCACACACCAGGCCCCATCCCTTGTACGGGTCCCGGTGAGAGCCACGATGTCACCCGCTATCGCTACAGCTCGACCACCTAGTAGCAAGGGTCACCCTCCCCATATTCCCTATGCCACTCCTGTGCCAACCCCAGCCCCACGAGTCATATCAGCTCCCGAGCCAGAGATGATTGTAGATGACGACATGTTAGACGTGGATTTGAGCCCCCATACTGCCGTCAGCAATAACGCGCCGTCTCTTGTCAGTGATGATGGGGAGTATGATGATTCGGAAGCCGACTCTGAGATGGAATCAGATCTGAATGACAGCATCGGGGCACAGTCAATATCAGATGTCGACGAGATTGACATCGAGGATGACCACAGTGGTGCACGCTCTATTCGGCACCACCGTGGCTCTACCGGCGCAGGGACTGGGACTACGGTACGCCTACGTAAGGACGACAGCAAGCACGTCACCTTTGTCAGCCCTATCAAGGGGAATGGCAATGAACATCAGAGACGGGGTCGAAGATAGGGTATGAAGTTCCTACTCCGGATTTGTTGCACGTAATCTTCGCGCGGATTAGCCGGTTGGCGGTTGGCGGTTGGCGGCCAGGAAGACGTGCTGAACGACTCTTTTTTAACGTTGGACTATACCGAATTCGTTTATGATGACTCTTACTATACACCTTTTATTACGATTGCATTTCAAAAATTTTCAATTTAAGATATGTGCCGAGGAGCCAGTCTTCTGGAGGTTCACGCGGAACATGTCTATTAGGTTACGAAGTTGATTCGATCAGCGTTAACACGGGAGCACGGCGGCGTCGGGTTGATAGGTCAATTTGAAATTAGTAGAGGTTAGAGGGACACTCAGTGTGAGGAGGCACTGACGGTTTTGATACACCTATTCTCCACAGCGCGCAAGCTAGTTAGCAACAATGGTTTTTAATGAAGGGGTTGCGAGACAGGCTGATAGACAGCGGTTCCTGTATCTATAATATCGAAACTGTACAAAGACACCATCGAATATTGAGAGCTTGCGCAATCAAACATAGATCTGCTTTATAAATGGTGATATCACCTTGAAATACCTATCAGGATCCCTAACCCGTACACTGCCTACACTCCCTTTTAGGTCACCATATAGGCTACTCATCCAATTGTAAGCTTGAGTAAAGACTAACGAAGCCTCTAACGCTTGAGTGATTGTCGAGTTTATAAGTACCTATGTATCGCCTACTCAAATACTTAGGTATAATAGACGTCTAGTTCCGTGATCCATTCATCCACCCATCCATCCATAAATAAATATAAAACCATAAATAGAAAACAAAGAGGAAAGC